CAATAGGACAGATGAGAACTGATCAGAAAATCCTCAACAGCAATAATGGATCTGTATATTAATATGAAAATGTATGTATATGTAAAAGAAACAGTGAACAATCTATGTCTTTTATAAGTGTGCATACACATACTTCTTTGTGTTAATTCAGTGATGTTACAGATGCATCATTGTTGTTGAGGATTTTCTGATCTGTTTATACCTGCCCTATTGTCTAGTTTTGTATAGGAGAAGCACATCAGCAGGATGTCAGTGCAGTTCTTGGTCATATTCTCTAGTAAACTTGTAGTGAGTAATATGCTTTCTCTATATTAATATTATGACTAGTGGCCATTGACAGCCTGATGCTCCATGAATGTGTCCAATCTCCCTTGATAGCTATCTAACTTGTACCAGTTCTTGTGGTAGTAGATTTCAAAGCACATTCCCACTTTGTATGCAGAATCATCTTTCCTTATTTATCCTGAATCTACAAGAGTAGGTTGACTATATTTTATTGTATTTATTTTCAATCACATTTTCAAAGATGTGGACGGAGTGGCTGGAGCAGTTTACTCAAATTTTGCCCAACTCAGAAGAGTTGCCAAGGTGGGACTGATATCATGGTTAAAAAAAGTGACTCAAGAAACTTGCTCTTGACCCAGGGGTTTTGACCAATTGTATGCTACTCTTAAATTACTTAAATTAACTTCTTGGTCAAGGTGACTGAGAAGTTTGTGGTTCTACATCTCTTTGGATGACACTGATTTTCTGGATCTGTTTCAAAGAGATGCAATAGCAATAGCAATAACAATAGCAGCTTCATTTATATACTGCTTCATACCGCGCTATGCAGTCTCTAAGCAGTTTACAACTGTAAGCTAATTGCCCCCCCCAAAAAACTGGGTACTCATTTTAGTAACCTTGGAAAGATGCAAACCTGAGTTGAGCCTGAGCCCCTTGGCTGGTATTGAACTCACAACCTTATGGTTTGTGAGTGAGTGACTGCAGTACATGCATTTAACCACTGCACCACTGGTTTGGCATGTGGCATGTGGCCCTTATTAAGGGTATGAAGACATGTCTTTTCTAATATGGCCTTTAAATTGTTTCAATGTATTCTCAATCACTTCATTAGTTTTACTATATAAATTGCTTTAAATTGCCTATAAGCATTGTGTCTGATATATATATATATATATATATATATATATATATATATATATATATATATATATATATATATATATATATATTAGGGGAAAGGCAGGTTAAAAAAGGAATGAATGACAAACAAATGAATGAATAAAGTTAAATATGTACTTTTAATCTTCATTCTGGCCAGAGAAGGACTTACAAATATGAAAAATATGATCCAAGAGCCTGTCTTATGGCTTGTCTACATTACCCTGAATTCCTTCCACCTTGATAGCTGCATGCTGTTTATGCATGTTATTGTTGTGTGCCTTCAAGTCATTTCTGAATTATGGCGAACCTAAGACAAACCTGTAATGGATTTTACTTGACAAGATTTGTTTAGAGGAGGTTTGCCATTGCCTTCTCATAAGGCTGAGAGCATATGACTTGCCTAAGGTCACCCAGTGGCTTTCATGGCCAAACAGAATTGAACCCTGATGTCTAGAGTTGTAGTCCAATATCCAAACCACTAAGCCACACTGGCTCTCTACTGTTTACACTGCACAGCCCCTGAACACTAAATTGGGTCCAGGCCATTTACACAATGCCTAGACCAAATTTTTCCACATTAAAAAGACTTACCTATTGCTCCAGGATTTCCAGAAAACCAAGAGCAAAATGCAGCAACAGTGGGCAATTGCCTGCCCACACAGTCCCTGTGAGTATCCTTGCCAAGTCGCTCTATGGGTGCAAGTTGCTCTGAAGTCAAAACATAGCTACCTCAGAGTGTCTTGCTACTGTAGACTGACTTGGCAGAGATGTTTGCAGGGACTGCATGGGGAGGTAGGTGTTCATTATCACTGCATTTTGTTGCAGCAGTGTGTGTGGAGAATTTGAGTGGAATTTGAGACCAGAATACTCCAGGGACAGCCTAGCAAATATATATGAGTCCTCACTCTGTTGACAGAGGCCAAAGTAAGTTTCCCTTTGCTTCTGCAGATACCATACAACTGGATAAGCAGATTCTATAGACACCATACAACTGGATAAGCACAGTATGAAGAAGACAGCTCCTTACAGCTGTTAACCTATTGACTTCCTCTTGGACTTCTGGCTGATAGCAAAGGTCTGAATCCTGTTGTTAGTCCCAACCGGAGTAACTCTGTTGCATTAATTGCATTAATTGCATTACCCATGTGTTGATTCACTATTCAGCAATTGATTTAATGGGACTAACAAACAGGATTCAGGTTCATAATATATTCATTTTTGGTTTAGTAGTGGCACAGTACTGATGCAGTATTTTTCTCCTTTCTGCCTCAATCATTAGTATGTCTGAAGGCAAAGTAGGAAAATGGAGAATTCTGAAGGATTATGTAATTGATCTCTGGAGACACTACTGTGCTGTCTTTCAGAGTAATGCCTCCAAGCCTATACAACATTGAAACAGGAGAAAGATAACATTAAATACCTCACACCTTAACAAAACCTGTCTTCAGGTTTTTGGTAAATGAGACTCATCTTGCAAGTGACATTATCATGGTAATTTAGCAGCCTCTTCTCTGGCCATGTAATATGTACTACTCCAATGAAAGTCAGTGACAAACAAGTACTCCTGAAAGGCAAATAGCACCACAACTTCCATTTATTCGATGAGTACCATATTCCAAGTGCCAGAACTCTTTTTCAGAAGCCCCTGCAGATTTTACTGGCTCTGGTATGGAGTGGAAAGATCAGTCAATCAGAGGCAGTCTAGTTGACTGGCAGGGGCAAGTGAAGGCTTCTCTCAGGTCCATTTCTGGCCCATATAAGCTGCTTCCTGCACCACACCAACATCCAGTTGGCTTCAATTGTCATCCCTACTTATCCTTTCTCAATCTTTGGTGTTTTTTTTAAATCAAATAAATGATTCTGTTGTTAGTGGTATCACACTGTTAGTGCTGATTGTCACAACATAGGGCAGTTTTGGCATGAGGGACTGGATCCAGTTTTGGGGAAGATAGGGCTTGTGTGCCTGTCATATCTAGTATGGGTTCTCCTTAAGGGATCATGGAGGTGCAGGCAACCAGGTTATGCCCCATATGAGAACAGATGGCTCTGCCTCACTCCCAGAAAGCAAGGGAGCCATACAGCGGCTTCAGTTAGAGTGAATTCCCACATCTATCATTCCAGGACTATCAAACAGTTGTGCTGGGTGAATGGGTTTCCATCAGCCAGCCTGCTATACATTTTTAAAAAGCTTTTATGACCCTCGATTTTGAAAGCTTGTGTTTTTTAGACCCAACTAGAGTAAGCCCATTGAATGAGCAGGATTTGTTAGATCAAGAATTATGCAAATCCCATTGATTCAATGGATCTACTCCATTTGGGATTAACAGAAATAACAACTGAGTTTTGCCCTTTTTCTGTAAAGGACAGCAGGTTACTTTCATTTTCTGCAAAAGACTAGCAGAATTTTCTCAGTTTACCCAAACTTAACCAGGAACCTCTTCAGTCATTTTGATTTTTGTGTCCTTTCAATATCTAGGCTTTAGGCATTTTTAGAGATAATAAGGGTTTTAGAATGTAAATTCTGTACAGAGTTGGTCTGGTTGAACTCAATGGGAGTTACATGTGTAAAAATGAATGCATGTGTGTTTAATATTGACTGGATTTTGTGGCCCTATAATAATATATTTTAGTCTGTTTTGACCTGTTCTGATCCTATAGAATAAAATGGCATAAATTAACAACTATCACTGTAATATACAATCTGAGCATTCATAGTGGTTACAACACCCTTGACGATACTGATGATAAATACAGTAGTTGCTTTAATAAAAGCTTACAGCACACTGTGAAGAAAGGGACTGTATGAAAATTAGTTGGAAAAACAGTTTCCTAATATTAGAAAGAAAATCTGGGATAAGCTTCTTCTTATCTTGCTCAGCCAGTGGCTATCCATATGACTTTCAAAGAAAAATCAAGGAAACTGTATTTTTAAGAAAATTGTTAAGGCAACTTATAACCAACAGGACTGCCAAGAATGGGTCTAAAAATATATGACTGTTTTTCTAACCACACAAAAAATTCTTTGCTTAAACACTGTGCAAGATGAAACAAGGGATAATTTGGGGGCAAAGACATAGTCTAAATTGCTGGTCATGGTAGTGAACCCAATAAAATGTGAAAAGAAGAAAATAATGAACAGCTATATGAGTAGCTGCATATAATGGAATGATAGTGACATAGCCAGAATATTATGAAACTGGCACTTCTTGATTATTCTAAGCCTGGATTAGAAGCCTTCATTGGGTTAGAAGCCTGGCTTTCAAAATTCCCACATTTTTCCATTTACTTTATACCATGAAGCAATTAAACTATGGACTTCAGCTGCGGTACAGACTCCAAACTTGAATCAAGAAATTACAAATCTGATTTATATTGTTCACTTAGAACATAGAAGTCCCTACTAAAGGCCTCCTTGTAGAAAGCATTTTCTGGCTGCCACACCTTCAACACCAAGAATAACTTGAATTCTGGGTTACCTTATTCTTTTTGATCAGCTTTTATACCATATCTAGCAAACACCAAGATATTTTACCAGCCGTACAAGACTAGGCATTTATGCAGTAAACAGTTTCATGGATTATTAGCTAGAGATGGCTAAAAACGAAGAACTTACTTCTTATTATCATAGCTGAGAACTCTTTTTAATAATAATAATAATAATAATAATTTTAACATGTTGTTGTTGTTGTTGTGTGCCATCAAGTCATTCCCAACTTCCTAAGGGAAATCTATCATGGGGTTTTCTTTGCAAGATTTGTTCAGAGGTGGTTTGCCATTGCCTTCCCTTGAAGCTGAGAGCATGTGATTTTCTCAAGATCACCCAGTGGATTTCATGGCCAAGCTGGGAATCGAACCCTGGTCTCCAGAGTAGCAGTCCAACACTAAAACAATTATGCCATGTGGCTCTCAGAGTAACACATTAGCATTAATATTTTGTAACATTATTTATTACTTAGTGAGAAATACATTACGAACACTTTATTTTTTTCTATATTACTGCTGTTGTTGCTATTTCTTATCAAAATATAGTTTAAAATCACAAATGGCAAAAACCAGTATTTTAGAAGTAAATGTTACTCATTGCACTGAAAAAAGTAATAAGAGTGCTGGTTTTTACATTAATTTGTAAAAGTAAAGTTTTACCCCACAAGATAATATATTGCAGATGAAGTTGTTACTCTTAATGCATTTTTTTCCAATCTCTGAGCATGGCATCCTTGGTTCAGAAAGATTTGCTATATAGATTTGAGACTCACTTCTCTAGTTAAACCAGTTATTTTTCAAGCTGTGATTTCATTGTGAGAATTTTCATTTATCAGTCAGACAAAAGGATACAGGACATAGGATGCTCTGATTCAGCCAGAAGACCTTGAATTTTGTTTAGACGAAATAATATATTGCAGGAGTGCTTCTCACTAACACCAGCTGTAAAAGGAAGGCAATTGAGATCATACTTCAAGGGGAAATCAAACCTCATGGGATTCACCTGAACATTGCACAAACTCCAAACATATATTAAAAAGTTAGTTTATCACAAATACTATACATAATAAAACATGCAATATTTATTTTACATTTTCAATATGCAGTTGCATGTTTTCTGTTTGCAACCAGGTGCCTATGCCATAGACCAGTGAGGGCGAACCCTTTAGAGACCGAGTGACCAAACTCAGTGGCATTCCCGCACCAGGTGTCACCAGGTGCTGGACTTCCAGGGGGTGGGACCACTGCTGAAATCAGGGGTCCAAAATGCCCAGCAGAAATAATCCAGTCTGAGACCACTTTAATTGCCCTGGCTCAGTGCTAGGGAATCCTGGGAATTGTATTTTTGTGGCCCCAGAGCTCTCTGGCTAAATATCTCACTGTATGTTATAGGATCCTCTCTCCCAGGATCCCATAGCATTCAGCCTTGGCACTTAAAGGTGTGCCAAACTGGATTATTTCTACAATGTGAATTCAGCCCTAACACCAGTGGCTGAATATCACTATTTTGTGGATTTTGGATGTTACTGTATTTTGCTATATGGCCAACAAGAGCCAGCATGGTGTATTGGTTTGAATGTTGGTCTATGGCTCAGGAGACTAGGGTTCGATTCCCTGCTCAGGCAAGAAACTTATTGGGTGACTTTGGGCAAGTCACACACTCTCAGCCTCAGGGAATGTCAATGGCAACCCCCTCTGAACAAATCTTGCTAAGAAAATCCTGTAATAGGTTTGTTGTGTTTGGGACACCAGTGTGGTGTAGCAGTTTGCGTGTTTGAGTAGTCCTCTGGGAGATCAGGGTTCAATTCCCCATGAAGCCAGAGAAATCCCCTGGGTAACCTTGGGCAAATCACAGTCTCTCAGCCTCAGGAGGGACTCTGAAGGGGCAGAAGATAGGAGGTTTCAGAGCTCTGTGGGGCATAATCCCCAATGGACTCTGAAGGGTGGAAGGAGAGGGAAGGGATAGGGTCACCAGAAACATCCTGAAGGCTCACAACATACACACACATCAAACTGACTTAGCCTCAGAGGATGACAATTGCAAAACCCCTCTGATGAAGTGTACCAAGAAAAACCCAGGATAGTTCTCCAGAAATGCCCTGAAAGCTCACAACACACACACACTCCCAAGTCTGGGAGGAGAAGAAGGAAATGGCGTCCCCCTGGGGACTGTGTCTTGTGGTGGGCATGGTTTCCAGCCAGAAGGGGGAGAACTGGGCCACAGCAAGGAGCCGGCCCGGGCATGCATGCTTCCCCTTCCTGTGGCTGCCGCATGCCCTGTGACATGGCTTCATGTGTCACAAATGGCACGCGTGCCACAGGTTTGCCAACACGGCCATAGAGGGAATGAATGTGGGAGCCCTTTAGGAACATATAGAATAAAAGATCAGGAGACTTCTAGTAAATAATTGTATACATTTTTACTGATGAGTTTGCTTTTCAATAATAGGGGGAGGGAGGAGGAAATGCAAAAAATTAATAAAACCTGTGCTCAAAAGGAAGATGTTCTGTATTCTGAATTTTTTAAACTGAATTCGACTTGACTTCTGCAATGCATTCTATGTGAGGCTACCCTTATACCTAACTCAGAAATTACAACTAGTACAAAATATGGCAGCCAGGTTGATCACTGGAACATCAAGGAGTGATCATATTACGCCCATATTGAAATCTCTCCACTGGCTGCCTATTGGTTTCCGAGCACAGTATAAGGTGTTGGTGATGACCTTTAAAGCCCTACATGGCCTGGGTCCAACATACCTAGGGGATCGCCTTCTTCCATATAATCCGCCCTGCACCGTCAAATCCTCTGGGAGGAAATTGCTCCAACCGATAAAAACCAGACTAGCGGCAACCTCCCAGAGGACATTCTCTGCCACCACTCCTAGACTGTGGAACGCCTTGCCAGAAGAGATCCATCAGATAACCAGCTTTAAAAAAAGCCATCCAGACGGATCTCTTCTGGCAGACCTACCCAGAATAGATCACTCCATTTGCCTAGTCTCCCTCCCATCAGACATCCTTCTTACATCTTCACTGTGCCCCAGAGTGCCTATTGTTTTAATTCTTATATTTTAATTTATATCTGTATTTAATATATTTTTAATGGGGGATTATAGTTATTTGTCAATATTGTTTTATTGTTTATTTTGGTGTAGTTTTATTTAATCTAATTTTAGATGTAAGCCACTTTGATTGCCACGGCAAAAGGCAGGGTATAAAAATAAAATTATTATTATTGTTATTAAAAGAGTTGAACAATTTTCTTGAATATATGGCACTATTACAACTTTTTGATAAGGATTAAGAATAAAAAGTAAAAGAAATAGTAATAATGTAGAAAAGCTGTTCCCCCGTCATAACCAGTAGTAGCTTTTCACAGTTAGAACCATTTCTAGGCAATAAGAGTAGACCAAGTTTCTTCCTTGTTTCCTAGTCTGTCTTACTAGAGGAAAGAGCATAACAAAATATTGCTGCAGAATAGTGGAAAGAGAAGTAAGCAATCAAGCTATAAATCTTCTTACTTCTTCTTTTTTCTCCCCCCCCCAAAAAATGTATATTTAGAATTTCAGTGCTTTTTGCATATTAGTCTGGTTTTGTTTCCTGAGGATGGATTTTAGCTGGTTCTATGCTGAATTATAAACAAAGTGGCTTTGAAAATTTCTTATTACAGAATCAGAATAAGGGAGAGCCGACTTTCTATAAAAGTGTTTTGCTGCCATAAAAACTTATACTTGTGCTGTAATTAGGGATTACATACAACTTACTATTTTAAAAATGGGTTGTGTTATAAGAAAACCCTATTAGGTTTTTTTTCCTTGTGTGAATCTAAACATACATACTTCATTTCATTGTTTAGCCATAAAATGTTGTGACTTTTCACCCCTAAGGGTAGTTCTTCATTGAAATTTACAGAAAGAATTTCCACTTTTTTGTGAAAGGGCTGTGAGTTCCATTCGGTTCTGGTACCAGAAGCAAATTGTAGGCTGAGGATTTATTAATCCAAAATACATCATCCGTGTCCATGATCAGGAGCCAGCAAAGTGTACTGTTTTGAGCGTTGGACCAAGACTCGAGAGACCAGGGTTTAAATCCCAATTTGACCATGTAAACCCACTGGATGACCTTGGGCAACTCATACTCTCTCAGCCTCAGAGGATAGCAATGACAACCCCCCTCTGAAGAAACCTGCCAAGAAAACCCCATGATAGGTTTTCCTTAGGGTCTCTGTAAGTCGGAAACAACTTGAAGGCACACAACCTCAACAATATCCAACCATATTTATTTCACTATTGCAAGACCTGCTGGATTAGCAGATGAATGTTTTCCAAATTAGTAAGATAGTGGTAATGTATTGTGCAGCTAGCTGTAAACCTTTTGCACAAAGTAGTTAGCTACATGGCAACTTGCTGCAACTGCAGTCCTGAAGATCAAAAGAGGTAAGGATGTCCCAGATTTCTGTGGATGAATGGTGGGAAAACAATGGCTAAAATCCTGTAGGAGGCTTAAAATGTTATAACTCTTGGGTACACTAGGATAAGTATTTTTAAAGATAATGTGGTAGGAGATATTCTGTGCTTTCTTCCACAAGACCTGTATGCGGATCATGGAAAGGCAGCTAGAAGTTTCTAGGGTATATCTCTTTCCTGACCAGCAATTGGCTAAGGGGAGCATACAGGAGCTGTCTAACTTTCCTTAAGCACCCAGGAATGAAGAAGTGGCCTTCTCTGTGAGTGACCGCTGTTTCTCCTCTTCCCCTCTATCCATAGGAAAAACTGGAGGGCTCCCAGGTATACCCTTGTAGCCTATCACTGTCCAAGGGGATAGAGCTACATTTGGGAGCCACCAGAAGAAACTCTTGCGTGCTCTCCTGGTGGAGCGTTACATTGTGCCCAAGGTAGTACTGGATCTTAGTAGATTACCTGTGTCTTACTTAGGGTCTACCATTGCCCATAATTATTGTGTAGTGAAACACCTTTTCACATATTTTTTTTGGCCCAACCTACCACATCCATTTCCATTAAATGAGACATAGGGAACATATATCTCTCTTTGATCTATAGTAAGCTTAGATTCCACAAGTACTCCATATTACTCTGGAGTAATATTCCATAAATATTATTCCACTGGCAGTAATTTTAGTCACAAATTTTATTTATGTACTGTATTTGCTGTGCCTGCTTGACTTCTCTCAGTCACTAGTGGTGCAGCTCTGCTGTCAGAACAAAACAGCTAGAAAGCTAAGAACAACAACAACAACAACTTCTCCTTTTTCTTCCATTCTTGAAGCCAGGGAGACACTTTGCTTTGCAAACTCCCAAGAGTGTAAGAGAGTAGAGGATCTCCTTCCTTTCTTGTACAAGGAAAACTAAACTTTCAAAAGCCAAGACATGTCTTTACTAGGCCCCAAATATTTGGGCAAATAGCCAGGTTTTAACTTTGTACTGAAAAAAAGGCAATGCTGTTGTGACTTGGTTCTCTGATGGAAAGGCATTCCATCACCAAAGCACTAAAAACCTGTCTGCTGTATTTAAATATGATGCTGTCCTTCTAACGGTAGAAAGTTGCCTATCTCTTCCATAAGCCATTTCTCAGTCCCTGTTAGTTAACTCTGATTTAAGTTAAGACATGCCTATACCTGCGAAAAACCTATATTTAGCAGAAACTGGAGATCTTTTTCATCTAGAGTATTGCTCAAGCAGATGCACAAACAGGTTCTCTAGGTAGTCTTGATCTCTGACAGACTTCAAGCTCTCCTAGAAAATTAACCATTTCATGCTGTGACATCTGGACAACTACAAATCACACAATTGGCTACCACATATAGGGTTGCCATATCCCAATTTTTGCCAAGACAGTCCCAGTCTTTAAGGGTCTTTGGGATGTCTTGCCTGGTTTTGGGATCATGTCCCAGCAAGGGCAAGGCCTCCCTGATCCTGGTGCAACCACGTGGGGACATAGCCAGCTGGCTAAGCAAACCCCTCATTGGCATGGCTGCACGGGTCGGCCAAGCAAGCCTAGACCCCAAAGACATCCAGGAAGGGAAGGCCTTCCTCCCGTGGCCAGCTGAGCTCCAGGAAAATCCAGGCTGTTCTCCATTCCTCTTATCATCCTCATTGTCCTTCTGTGCCAAGTAAGAAATTTGCAAAGCATTTGGCCTTGGGAGGTTTGCTATGGCCTTCCACTGAGGCCAAGAGAGTGTGACTTATCCAAGGTCACCCAATAGACAGGGAATTGAACCCTGGTCTCCAGAGTCCTAGTCCAACACACAAACCACACAAAGCTACATCCCAACCTTCTGTGCAGGAAGAATGTCAAAATGCCCTCTATTTTCAGTATGACTGAGAATCATAAATTTATATTAATGTTTTTTAATTATTAATGTTTACGGCTTTCAGTTGGTCATGTCCTCCATTTTTCTTGAATGTCCTACATTTTGTCCTATATTTTGTCCTAGTTTTGTGGAAGAGAATTATGGCAACCCTAACCACATAGAAGAGAGTTTACCTATTCTTCATGGGTGGTCTCTTCGGGGAGGGAATCTGTTTTGTAATGCCAGCGAAGCACAGTATATGGTGAAAATGTCACCTTTCATCTTTGATCCTATAATTCTTTGTGCCACACC